GTGTGTGTGTGTGTGTGTGTGTGTGTGTGTGTGTGTGTGTGTGAGAGAGAGAGAGAGAGAGAGAGAGAGAGAGAGAGAGAGAGAGAGAGAGCACTCATTGGCAGCCAAATCTGTTGGGGAGGGGAGGTTGGGGGAGAATGTGGAGGAGGAGAAGGAGAAGATGCACTCATAAAACTGCCAGTCAACAACTCCTAATTTTCGTCCTTCTTTTTTTTTTTTTTTTTCCCTTCTCGTTTCCGCTGCGTCAATCCTCCTGATCTCCTCCTGCTCCAGCCCTTCATGTCATACGCCATTTCGACAGAGGGCATTTCCACCCACTCACTCCTTTCCCCCCAGCCGTCCACCGCTTCTAGAATGTATCCTCCTCCGTTCCCTGCTACAGTCCATTGATTATAAAACCATAAGAAGAGGAGGGGGAGGAGGGGAAGAAGAGGAGGAAGAGAGGGCAGAGGACGGGAGGGGGAGGGGGAGGAGGAGGAGGCGTAGGAGGAGGACGGATTTTACATATCACCCTCGGCATCTTCATGGTCGCTTCCTATTCTTCCCCTCCTGCTCCTACTCCTCTTCTTCTTCTTTTGTTCCTCTTCTTTTCCTCCTCTCGCCCTTCCTCCTACCAGCCCTCCACTTTTACGGGGGGAGGAGGAGGAGGGGGAGGAGGAGGAGAATAGAATAGTGACAAGCAATGGCCAACTTGCTTCCAAACACGCTTTCATAGATTCGTCAATCATGTACAATGCATGTTTATAGTACTCAGCACGCGTAAGAAGAGGAGGAGGGGGAGGAGGGGGGGGGAGGAGGAGGAGGAAGAGGAGAAGAAGAAGAGGAGGTGGGGAACGAGAAAGAAGAGGATGAGGAGGAGGAGAGGGCAATGAACAGGAGGGGAAGGAGGGAGAAGAAGAAGAGGAGGAGGAGGTGGGGAAGGAGGAGCAGACGGAGAAGCATCGGAGACGGACGAGGAGGAGGAGGGGAAGGAGGGGAAGGACAACTTACCTGGAAAGACGACTGCGGCAATGACGAGGCGTATATTACCAGCGGCGACGATGAAGTTCTCGCTGCATTCAGACGTGCACTGTATTTGGGACCACCACAACTCTATATGATATGAGGGTCAAGGTCCCACTTGCACGGATTAAGAGATTCTAGCCGTTGATCTCTGCTATCTACAGTCAATATCGCATAATTCGGGTAAGTGGGACCTAGCCCGAGGGATGTGCACAAGTAGTTTGTCGACAGAGATCCGATCTTGTCCCCTTTTTTGGTTCCCCCGGTGGCCCTAGTGCCCAAGGCAAGTGGGACCTAGCCCCGGACCATGCTTCGACACATTTCGCTATCGAATTCGGGTGCTCTCATATTTCGAGGTTCTAATTTTGTAGGCATAGGGGGCCAAGTCCCACTAGCAGCGTTGAGCTACCTCAACGCCTGAATGTGGACACTTTTGCGTAGATATGCAGAAATGGTGTTGAGTTTCCGAAACTGCACGTCTCCACAGGCGTTTAGGTACCTCAACGCTGCTAGTGGGACTTGGCCCGGGGAACCCTGTACCAGCCAGAACCCTGTCCGCAGAGGTGTGGTCCCATTAGCAGTCGGATAGGAATGTGGCCGATCCAGTGTGACACTGAGTGGCAGCGGGCTGACATATCCAGTGGCCTAGCTCAGTTGGTTAGGCACCCAAGTGGCATTCAGGAGGTTTTGGGTTCAAGCCCCATGACCGCCTGTGGCGCACTCAGTGCCAATGGACTGTGATAGTCCTCTGGATACCCCTGATAGGTATTAGTGGAGTCTATGACCAACATGGGTGTGAGTGTGAGCGCGAGTGGGTTGTGTGTGGTGTGTGGGAGAGTGTTGGCCATAGCCACTGCTGCTACTCGATGAGGGGTGGGGGACGATGAGAAAGGGAGGTGCAGCTACTGGCAGGTCTCGGTCTTTGCGTTAGCCAGACCCCCACTGGCGGCCCCAACCCTACACCCTTAACCACTAGGGCAAAGGGCAACATGCAATATCCACTTCACAGTGAGAGGTAGCTATGCTTGCAGGGGTCCCCTATAGATAGCCTTAGGAGTAGGTAGGTTACCGTAGTGAAAGGCAAGAAGTTGCGAGAAGAATATAGAAGGGAAGAATTCCCAAAAAAAAAAAAAAAAAAAAAAGGAAATTCTGGGGTGAGAAAACTGGAGAAAGGCAAAAAAAAAAAAAAAAAGGGTAACAGTTGGGGAGGATTGTGTGAAAGTGGTTATTAACCCGGATCTAGTCCGCTTGCAAGTGGATTGGTTAAAAGAACATGCGGTGTCTATTTTTTTGGGGAATGAGGCTTCCTCGCTTCCACCCAATGTTAAAAACAGACTCGTCCGCATCTATGAGAATGGATGGGACGCAGTAAGGGAATTTGGTGCCCCCCCGAAAAGGGGAGTATTCAGGAAGGAGGGAAGGAATTTGGCCTCGTACGTGGCGTCAGCTAAACAAATAGCTGAATGGATGCTCAGGAAGAAAGAGGACAGAGTAGAACTGGATGGAGTTGTCTACTCTGTGTCTTTTCGGCCCTGGATGTCCGAAAAGCAGCTGGCAGAATGGCGAGACGCCATGAGACAACAATTTTTTTGGCTTCGATGCCTGGAAGTCCCGGTGTCGGCAATGGGCCCTCTGAAAGGACTCATAGAGGATGCTTTTGGGGAAGTGATTAGAGTTCATTCACCCTACAAGCACCCCCTATCTCCAAATCTGCGTGACATTCGTTTTAATTTAGTTCCGTCCGCTAAATTAAGGTATCGGAAAAAATTATGCGTTGACTTGGCGGAATTTGGATCGATGAATATTGACGCTGTTTGCGCCTCTTCACCCTGGTGCAAGGTGTGTAGGAAATTCTTCCACAAAGACACTGACAAAGACTGCCCTTCGAAAGATAAGAAACGCCCCTCCAAGGGCAAGGATAACAAGGAGGATAAGGGAAAGGAGGAGAAGGAAAAGGAGCATGAAGGGAAGAAGGGGAAAGAGAAGGAAAAAGAGACGGAAAAGGGGAATGAGAAGGAGAAGGAGAAGGAAGAAGAAAAGGGAAAGGGTGGCAGCGAGGATGAGGCGGTGACGGTAATGGGAAAAGGGGACAAGGGAAAGGATGGGAAGGAAGTGGACAAAGGGGATAAAATACAGGAAAAGGATAAGGAAGAAGAAAGGAGGGCCTCGGAGGATAAGGAGATGAAGGATAAGGAAGAAAAGGCCGATGGGGATAGAGGAGGGGAAAAGGAGGCCCTGGGAAAGTTGAAGGGGCACAAAGATATAAAGGGCAGAAAGAAGAGCCTATGGAGAGAAAAGCGTCGTATGGCAGAAGGGAAGAAGGATGTCCCCCCCCCGGGGGGGGAAAGAGGAGTGGAGGAAAAAGGACAAGGGGAGAACATACAAATGGAAGTGGAGCCAGTACAGATTGAACTGAAAATTAATCCGTCCCAGGTGCAACTGATTGACAATAATGCCAAGGTCCCAGCACCAGAGGACACAGTTGTTGTTGCTGCTGCTGCAGAGCTATTGGCTAAAGCAGCCGAAGCCTTTGCCGCTGCTGCAGCAGCTGCTGCTCCCAATCCATCAAACAGGTCCAAAACCCGGACAGGGAAACTGAAATTCCCTAATTCGGACGCCCCCCCCCCTCTGGATTCCTCCACCCCATATGTGCTTGGAGATATTCAGAAAAGGACAAGTGGGAACAAGAACCAAAAGGTTCAACATTCCCCAGTTCTTAACCAACCTCCGGTGACACCCCCCTCGGGGAGTGTTGCTCTCACTGTCGATGGCACAGTCCAAGACTCAGCAATTTGCGTGATGGGGGAAAACGCCCTCCGCCTTTCCAAAAAATCGGAAGAAGTAGTGGATGATCAGGGGTCTGCCCAGGACATGCTGGAATTCATGGTCCCTGGACTGTTCCAAGAAGGAATAGTCCACTTCGATCCAGCAGAAGATTCGGGGATAGTTTTTATGCTAAACCCGAATAAAAGAGCAAAATCCAACGATAGCATCCCCATTCCGACGATGGAAGAACAAGCGATGGGCGACCCCAGGGAGATGCCCGCAATCTTAGCGGTCCCAGTCATAAAAAGGAAACCTTCCACAAGGAAAGCTAAGAAAACGCTAATTCAGGGCCCCCCCATGTTTACTTTGGGTAAAGGTGACAAATCTGCAAGTCCTAGCTTGGAAATTTTCGTTCCGCTGATTTGTTCAGATACTCCCCAGGGTGTAATGGCCCTTACCATGATTGCCCAGGATGAGTCTTTATCCCTTCCTTCTATTACTGTTCAGTCTGCCTTGTCGGACGAACTCCTCATCAAAATGGCATCAGAGCAAGTACTATTCAACGAAGGATCCTGTGTACTCCTGCAGAAGCCAAGGATGGGGAGGTACTTAGCGGTGCTGCCAGACAACAGCAAGGTGTTAGTGCACTTAGCGTTTATGAGCCTCACCTGGCTGTCTGATGAGTATGAGGGCTGGACAAAACCGAAGACTCAATGACACCCCCTGATGGATTTTATTACTAGGAAAACGGACTCGTTGGAGAAAATTCGGGTGGGGTCAAAGCTATCTGCCCTGGTCATTGCAGACTGGATTTCCAGTGTCGAGGCCATTGACATACTCATAAGCAATAAATTTTCGAGCACGGTCCGAGCGGCTGGCCAGCCGCGTTCCGAACTCCAAGCTGATAACCACATCCAACACCCCGGCGGCGACGTCCCAGCGCATGATGCTGCCCAGTAGGGTAAGACTAGTGAGCTGGAATGTCAAAGGTCTCGGGGATACATCTGGCGGACAGAAGAAATCACAGCTTTCTGCGTGGTTTTATTCTAAATATGCTCAGATAATATGCTTACAGGAAACTAAATTGAATTTGGATAAGATTCAGGAGGCTCGAAACTGGTGGCTGGGGCAGCAGATATGGGCTCCAGCTGACGGTTCAAAGGGCGGTGTTGCAATCTTGTTACACAAGGACCTGGACTGCATTATACTAGACTCATATGCAGACCCGGGTGGTCGTTATGCCTGGGTAAAAATTGAAATGGGGATGGAACACTGGGGAGTCATGTCTTTATATGCTCCCTCATATTATATTGCTAGAACTGAATTTTTCTCTAATTTGTCTGCTTGTCTTCCGGACACCGAGAACTTAGCAATTCTTGGTGATTGGAATACCACCTTGAACCCGGGATTGGATTCTCCCGACCCCTTTCCATTACGTTCAGATAGCACTCTACTGATGACACTGTTCGAGACTCAAGGCCTCACAGACACTTACCGGATCATGAATCCAGAGGACCATGGATTCACATGGTACGGTCCCAAGCCAGAACCCAACCTGTCACAGCCCCGTAGGAGACTAGACCTCATTGTGTCCCGCGGGGTTCTGTGGGAGCGTTGCATTCATGTTGATTATTGTGTCTCTGATATCTCTGACCACTACCCAGTTTACATAGATGTGGTATCTAGGGACTTGGTTCAGACCTCCCGTCCCCCTTTCCGGTTAAATACTAGCACTTTGAAAGACCAAGGTATCCCGCAGTGGATAGTCTCTCAAATGTAGGGGTGGCTGGAGGCTAAGGACCTTTTCGACTCAGAGGACCACTGGGCCGATGTGGGGGTGGCTATTATAAGGGAAGCACTTGTAGTGTTCTCTCGTATGAAAGCTGCCAACAGGAATTGGAAAGAGCATAAGCTTATCAGGCTGGTGGAGGAAGCAGAGACAAATCTGGGTCAGGACCAGTTTGCAGACTTATTTTGGACTGATAAAAGACTCTCCGCTCTCGCCTCCCTGGAAGCTCTAGAGATACAAAAGCAAACACAGTGGTTGGAATGGCTCGAACTACGAGGCATTGTAGGCTACGATAGAATGACTAGATTAACTTTTAGATCTTTAATTTTAAGACAGACTAAACCGGTACTTAGGGAACTTATCCACCCTTTTGATCTGAGAAGCCATGTAGCAGTAGACGTTATGGACTTATGTACCTTTGCGAGGGATTACTTCCAGGATATAGTATCTACCCGCAGACCTTTTGATAGCTTCGACACAGATCTATCATTAAACTCAGACTTCTGGTCCAGGACAAAAGCCAGCATTTGCAGGCAGACTAAGGAGGCAATGGATGTCCCTTTTACGGAAATGGAACTTCACCAAGTGGTGAAACATATGGCGAAGGGCAAATGCCCTGGCATCGATGGCCTTCCAGTTGAGCTCTTTCTCAGTACATGGGTCGGCTTCGCTCCTTTCCTGTGTCAAATTTATAATAAAGCCCTGCATACTGGCGCCCTTCCGAAGACTTTCGTAAGAGGGTTCATAGCGCTCCTCTATAAAAAAGGAGATAAAAAGGAAATCCGCAACTACCGCCCGATATCAGTTTTTAATGTTGTTTATAAGATATTGGCAAAAGCCATTGCTATGCGCTTGGCCTCGGTTCTCCCCCAGCTGGTAGGGTGGGAACAAGGGGCTTTCGTCAGTGGCCGGTCTATATTTGAGAATATCCTTACTGCAATACAGGCCCTGGAAGTGATTGGCGTAGAAAAGCGGGATGTAGCGATCCTCCTCCTAGACATGGAGAAAGTGTACGATAAAGTAGGGTGGGCCTTCGTTTCTACCACCCTGGCTAAAATGGGATTTGGGCCTGGTTTCACCAACTGGGTGCATGCGATGTATGCAAATGCTGTCTCCCAAGTCATGGTCAATGGGCATCTTTCTGAGGAATTTTTCCTTACCCATTCGCTACGGCAGGGGTGCCCCCTTGCCCCATTATTATTTGTGTTGCAATTAGAAGTTCTTTTGGATAATATTAGATTTAATGATCAGATAGTTGGTCTAAGACTCAACCCCTCCCTTGAGTGGAAAGGGGGAGCTCTCGCAGATGACCTTACAGTCACCTGCGAAAACTCCCCGACATCCCTAGGAGAGGGGCGGAGAGTTCTGGATGAGTATTGTGCTCTTTCTGAAGCTTCTATTAATTGGTCCAAGTCCGTTTATATTTTACCTGATATGTTTGATTTAAAAGTTAACTGGGGACTTAGATCTGTCCCGTCAAAAAACTCTGAGAGGTTCTTGGGGGTCTTGGTCTCATTATCGGACTGCTCAAAAACCCAGGGCCAACTCTTGTCAGGCAAAGTTTCGGCTAGGATCAATGGCTGGCTGCACAATTATAAGCTCTCTCTATTTGGCAGAGCCTTAGTGCTGTCAACGGCGGCCTTCTCTATCTTATGGTTCCCCCTCTCGATATGCTTGTTGGGTACCGATTTATACAAGGAAATTAAACAGGTGGCTGGAAGGTATCTGTGGAAGCCATCAGCTAATGAGGAATAGGGCTATATTAATAAGGTGGCTTGGGATGCCATCACTAGGCCAAGAGACCAGGGAGGGTTGGGGCTTTTGTATCCTCAGAAACAAAACTGGGCTTTGCTTGCTAAATGGATTATAAAAGCCTGCTTCGATAATCCTTCCAAGTTGTGGATCCGAATAGCAGAGTACATTCTTGGAAAAGAGTGGAATATCGTTGAGCCAAGAGAAGTATGGCAATGTTGCATGATGTCCAGTTTCCTAAACCGAAGAGTTAAATCTAAGATTTGGAAGGGCATTCTGCAGGCCTGGAAACACTTGTGCCCTCAGGCGAATATATTACCGGGTACGAGACTGGAAATAGCCAACCAAAATCTGTTTGATAATATCTTGATATCTCTTCCAAGTGGGACCCCCTTCTCTGCAACAGGGGGGGAGGGCAACTTTGGCCGAGCGTGGATTGAAAAAGGCATATCAAGAGTTAAGCACCTCTGGGACGAAGAGTCAGAAGACTGGGTTTCAGAAGAACAAATTTGAACGCTACTGCCTCGATTGAAAAATGTCCCCGAAAATCTGGCTAGACTAAAAGATGCATTTCCTTCCGAATGGAGCTCCAGATTGAACGCCTCTATGGAATATACCGCTGGAGCCTGGGTTCAACCGGAGGACGAGCCTGATCAGTTCTGGAAAGTGGTGGACCCGGAGCTGGCAGGTGGGATGAAAATAGAAGAATGGCGATTAGATCCAACAAAAAAGGAGAAAGGACTCCTACGCCTGATCCAAGAAAGAAATATGGACACAACAGCGGGCCTGGTGGAGCTTCGGGTCTGCCCCTACAAAAAACAGATGTTATATATAGGGAAAGGGGACCACTTTACGGTAGAACCCCTTCTCTGTGGATGGGGTGGGCAACCCAGGGTCTCCCTGATGGATGAACCCACCCCCCTTTGTTTGCACAAGACAAAGGTGGGGATCAAATGGCTGCAATCCAAATCAGAGCTCACGCCGCTTCACCTGGCAGCAGATAGACTATGTAAACTGAAGGGTTCTTATAGTAATCAGCCAAGCTGGCTCTTACTATGGGATGCACTACGAAAGATTCCTAACCAGAAGTATGCAAGCTTGTTATGGTTGCAGTCCATTCAGGTGGTTCCCACCGCCCAATGGCTGGCGACCAAGGGCATGGACGTGCCCACAACATGTAAGAGATGCGAGTGGGGGTGGGAATCCAATTCCCACCCATGGCTTCAATGCCCATTGGCGGACGAAGTTTGGTTGTGGTGGACACTGATGTGGAATAGTTTGTCTGGAGATTCCTTCTCTTGGTCTGATGACTGGATTCTGTATGCTACACTCCCCGCCCAGAATGTGTACTATGCGAATGGGTGGGGCTATGTGGCATTGGTTTGCAGGGCAACTATCATGTTCACTATTTGGAATGCAAGGAATGCAGTGGTTTTCAAGGGGGAGAAGGTACCACTTCAACAACAGCAACACCTGATCAGAAAAAGTATACGACTGATGGTTTTGGCAGATTGGAAAAAATGTACAGGGCGCCAGGGGAGAGGACTTTTGTGGTTTCGTAGTACCTGGCCCCTTCTTAATCAGTGGGTCTCGGTCTCACAAGATGGGCATTTGTCGTTTAAAAATTGGCTACTTCATTCTGAATAGGACGGGTTTGGACTTTGAGCGGAATGGGGATATGGTTAATGAGCCTACCTGTCTTCCCTTTTGAGTTGGTTTATCATAGGATTTTGAGCTAGAACGAGCTCCTTTTCTGTGCTTTAAGGTTAATTTTGGAAAGTTAGGTAGCTTAAGGGACGCTGGACCCGGTTTCCAGCTAAGTGGATTTTGTTAGATAGCAGAAGCTGGGGTCTGGCAATGTTTATAAGCTAAACTGGCTGAGGCTGCCAGGATAACTCCGGGTTGAATTGTGAGGTCCCCGGCCTCGTCCCTTATTTGATGCGATATATGGATGACCTTTCCAAAAAAAATAAAAAATAAAAATAAAAAAAATTCTCTGTATCGTTCCAAATTCCAATTTTAACGGATGTCCCGAAGGACAAAAGTGTTAGTTTAGTTCTGTTCTCTGGCCGCGTCCCGGTGGCCAAGGAGCTAGATCCTATCTACTAGCTACCCTTTCCTTATTTCAATTCTATTTATTTATTTTTGATTTTTGATTTTTTTTTTCTTTTTTTTCTTTTTTATTCCCCTGTGGAGGGGAAGGGCTGCGCCGCACTCTGCTGCAGTGCAATACAGAGGCAACACTGGAGGGGTCGAGTAAGCAAGCTTACCCGTACGACCCCTCGTTGGCCCAGAAAATTTAATTTAATATCGTGTGGTCCGATG